GGGGGGGGGGGGGGGGGGGGGGGGGGGGGGGGGGGGGGGGGGCGCACTCATGTTTGCATGCCTTGGCAGGCAGACCATTGATCACACGTCCTCGAGGGGACGGAACGGCGTTGGGACGATGGGTCAGAGGCGTGTTGCTTGCGGTGGGTAGGGGTTGTACTTGTCACTACCAGAAAAAAGAAGTTTATGCCCTTGTAAACCTATCACCGGAGAAGTAGGAGAACTACGATATGGCGAAGGAAAAGCGAAGGGGCGGAGAGGCGGGGGGAGTCGCAACTGTTGTCCGAGAATCAATCCTACGGGGAGTCCAGGGTACAGCGGTATCCTGAAAGAGAACTCGGCAACCGGTACCCGAAAGTTTCTTCTTAGCTGGGGTGACCCTCTTATCTTCGCACGCACTCCTTGACCGCCAGTCTCCGCAAGACTTGAAAAACGGGGTCGCTACAGGTCGAGTTGAGGTCTCTCCCTGTGTGTATCTTCATACTGCGAACGGCTCCGCCGACTAAGTGCCGCAGTCAAGAATATCACCGTGTTGAGAAATAAAAGGCTCAATCGTTCACAAAAAAGCAAGAGAAAATGGGGTAAAATATCACGGGTATGTTACCCGACGGAGGGTTCCTACACTGAGAGTGACCGTACCTCGCACCATGATAACAACTGAGCCGGGCCCGTGGCGGTAAAACAGTTGAGGGAACCCCGACCCTAAATCGTCGTTTCTTATCTCCGCGCCCCCTACTCTAGACTTAAGCGGGTTGGCGCTGTTGGCAAAGCGCTGTAAAACACGCCACCCCACAAATAGCCCCCCATAGTATGCGCTACCAAAGACGCGTGACGCATGGATGCGTGGAGTGAGGATTGCTCACGGAAACCTCACAGGTNGCTGTAAAACACGCCACCCCAAATATAGCCCCCATAGTATGCGCTACCAAAGACGCGTGACGCATGGATGCGTGGAGTGAGGATTGCTCACGGAAACCTCACAGGTTGAGTGATGTAGGAGATTACCGGACACATAAAGGTGTTCAGTGATTATAGCTGTATACTGAAACCCCAACGGTTGAGTGAGGTTTGAGATTGTCAGACACATGGACGGGTTGAGTGGGGATAGCTAAATACTGAAACCTCACAGATGGATTGGTTTTTGAGTTTGCCAGACACATAGACGCGTTGAGTGGGGATAGCTAAATACTGAAACCTCACAGATGGATTGGTTTTTGAGTTTGCCAGACACATAGACGCGTTGAGTGGGGATAGCTGCAAACTGAAACCCCACGGGTTGAGTGATTTTGGAGTGCCGGACACATAGACGCTTTGAGTGAGGAAATACACATACTGAACCTCACAGGTGATTGGTGATGGAGATAGCCGGACACAAAGACGTGTTGAGTGAGGATAGCTGCATGCTGAAATCTCACAGATGGATTGGTTTTTGAGTTTGCCAGACACATAGACGCGCTGAGTGGGGATAGCTACATACTGAAACCTCACGAGTTGAGTGATGTTGGATAGTGCCGGACACATAGACGCTTTGAGTGAGGAAAGACACATACTGGAACCTCACAGGTGATTTGTATTGGAGATTGCCGGACACCCAGACGCGTTGAGTAAAGATACCTGCATACTGACACCTCAAAGATGGATTGGTTGTTGAGTTTGCCAGACACAGTCTAGACGCGCTGCGTGGGGATAGCTACATGCTGAAACCTCACGAGTTGAGTGATGTTGGATAGTGCCGGACACATAGACGCTTTGAGTGAGGAAAGACACATACTGAAACCTCATAGGTGATTTGTATTGGAGATTGCCGGACACATGGACGTGTTGAGTGAAGATAGCTGCATACTGAAACCTCACAGATGGATTGGTTTTTGAGTTTGCCAGACACATAAACGCGCTGAGTGGGGATAGCTAAATACTGAAACCTCACGAGTTGAGTGATGTTGGATAGTGCCAGACACAAACACGATTTGAGTGAGGAAAGACACATACTGAAACCTCATAGGTGATTTGTATTGGAGATTGCCGGACACATGGACGTGTTGAGTGAAGATAGCTGCATACTGAAACCTCACAGATTGATTTGTATTGGAGATTGCCGGACACATAGATGCGTTGAGTGAGGATANGGATAGCTAAATACTGAAACCTCACGAGTTGAGTGATGTTGGATAGTGCCAGAAACATAGACGATTTGAGTGAGGATAGCTGCATATTGAGACCTAGCGGGTTGAGTGACGTTTGCGACTGCCGGACA